TTCTTTCAATAAGGGAATGAAGTGAAATTGAGGTTGGGATAGCGCCACATAAAAGGATCTAGAAACGGAATCAACAACAACATTATCTTTTCCCTGTTTGTATTCTATTGTGAAATCATACCCCAAAAGCTTGTGCAACCACTTTTGCTACTCCGGATTCTGATCTGTTCTTATGATGAATTTATGATCCAGCAAATAGTGCCTAAATTTAGCCACTGTTTCCGTAATGGCATAAAGGGCCAGTTATAGATGCATAACCTTTGATAAACCTTCTATAGTATCATGTAAGTCCCAAGAACCCCCTCAATTGCTTAAGATTTAAAGGAATAGGCTAGTTTATCACTGCTTGGATTTTGTCTTTCTCCATTGCCACAGCTTCGCCAGAAATAGTGTGACTGAAATATTCTATTTGTTGTAATTTGAATGAGCACTTGAACATTCTTGCAAACAACTAGTTATGTTGTAATCATTTCAAAACCACTTCCAAATGTTGCAAGTGAGAAGACCACGAGGGACTATAGACAAGGATATCATAAAAAAAAAAGCTAAGACAAATTTTTGGAGAATACCTTGGAATACTTCATTCATAAGGCTCTGAATGCAGGGGGATTAGACAATCCAAATGGCATAACAAGCTCCTAAATAAATCCTTGCGTTTTGGTTTGAAATTGTGGGTAATATGTTCTGGGTTTGGGTATGTATTTTTCTTCATAGAGCTTAGCTAGGTTCCACCTGCGGGGACTGTTTCTACCATCTTTAGAAGTCTTTGACCTTAATTCAAGTTTAATTACCTTCCAAACAAATTTATTTGGTGTTAACACTGTTATTGGCTCAGCACAGATTTCTTTAACATGGTCACTTTTGTTTTGATTATCTAAATGCACTCATACAACATAATCTTCCTCTCTGACAACCTATTTTTACCACTTATATGGTTTTATAATTTACTTTGGTTCATAAATGTCAGCATGTTTGGATCCTTGTTCAGGCAGTCACATTAATAATTTGTTTGATAATGATAAAGTCACTCACGTATATATTAACAATATATTAACTCCAAACAAATTGTTTTGGAAGGAAACCAATGAAGATGCAATATGAAAACCTTTTCTGTCAGACTGATAGGATCTAAGTAAGAGGACAGAAAGCTGGAAAAAGAGAGAGCGGTTAGAAACGGTGGGATGGGAGATCTTATATAAATATAGTTATATTCATTGTTAGAAGGAAACTAGCCATTTCTTATGTTTTGTAACCAGGTTTTGAACCTCGTTGAGGGGGATTAGGCTCCCGAGTTGTTATTGTTTTCGTTTTCCAGTTACAGCGAATACATACAACTACAGAGATTATACACCTTTCCTTGATTTTCTCTTGTTTATTTGCGTTGGAGTGAGTGGGTATTGTGAGAATAGTTAGGTCTCTTACTCAAAAACCTAACAAATTGGTCCGACCTGCCGGATCTTCATCGGAGGAGCGAACAGAGCGCATGTGAAGACGAAAAATGGAGGAAAGAAATGAGGAACGTCTGAACGTGGTAGAAAGCCAGCTAGATGCGGTGGGGGTTGCAATAGACAGATTGAAGGTCGAAACTGCGATATTGAGACAAGATTCAGCGGCCATCCGCCAAGATCTTCAAGAAGTGATGCAATTATTGGGGGGACGACACTGCAATCAAGGGGAACAGTCCGACGGCAGTCTGGCGCCTTCGAACGCCAATAGGAGTATGAGACGCGAGGACGAAATTGGGGGCGGAGAAGGTGAGCGGTTCAATTGGAGGAAGAGGGTGGAGTTGCCTGTGTTCGAAGGATTAGATCCATTAAACTGGACCAATTGGACGGAGCGATTCTTCGAATTATATGGAGTAGTGAAAAAGGAGAAGGTACGATTGGCATATGTGAGCATGGAGGGAAGCGCTAGCTACTGGGTCAGATCTTGGAAGGAGAAAGCCAGGAATCGTTCATGGGATGGTTTGGAGGAAGCCCTGGTGATAAGGTTTGGAACCATTGTTGAGCGGTTGACGACATTGAGACAGACAGCAACGGTGGACGAGTATGTACAATACTTCAAGATATTGGCGGGTCAAACGACGAGAGTGTCGGACGAGCAGCTGTTAGGATATTTTCTTGCGGGATTGAAAGAGGGATATCCGGAATCAAGTCTGACAACATGACCCGCAGGAATGGATGGTGGCGATGTGGATCGCAAAGGATGTTGAGGAGTTCCAGAGAGTCACCGAACGATCCGAGGACAAGTGCTATAACCCATGGCGATCGGGAGTGGCCGAGTGGTCCGAGGCCAATCACCTAGGCCGATCGGTAGCTGCCAAGAGTGAAGAATTCCAGGGAAGCGAAAAGGAGAGGGCAGCCGGATCCGAACAGGAGAGGACTACTGGACCCGAACGGGAGAGAACAGCTGAATCCGAACAGGAGATGACGGTTGGAACCGAATGGTCTTACTGTTACAATTATATGCCGAACAGTCTTATAGTCAAAACGGTCTCCCAGTCATTGGCCTGAGCGGTCCAAGGCCATAGAAGACCAGTCGTCTGGGGGACGAACGAGTAGTGAGGTGACAAGGTCCGAGGCTAAACGCTATAACCCAGGCCGATCGATTGTTGTCGAGCAGTCCGAGGCCTTGCGCAACAGCCCAGGCCGATCGGGAGTTGTCGAGTGGTCCGAGGCTAATTACCCAAGCCGGTCGGGAGCCGCCAAGAGTATGGGGTCAATACGGAAGATGCACGGTCTGATAGGGGACCAAATGGTATTGGCCATTAAAGGACGAACGGTAGTAGAACGAAGAGGAGAAGTAACTCTAGACTGGGAAGATTTGGCATCTACTCTTTTTAGGGTTGTTAACGCGAGCCAAACGGTTGAGTGCAGGGGGAGGAGCCGAACGGCATAAAGATAGGGAGAAATGATGCGAACGACATAACGAAAGGGAGAAGAGAGCCGAATGGTATAAAGATAAGGAGAAGAGAGTCGAACGGTAGAGGAAGTTATTTACCGGAAAAGATAAGAAGCTCATCGCCTTCAAGGAAATAATACAGAGACGAAAATGGAGCCCTTAAATTTTATCTCTCAATTCGACCACCACCCAAGCCTCCAGACCGGAAGTTGTAGGTAGTAGCCAGCAGGTTCTCTTCCTGTGATAAGACCATATCAAAATGCCATGGGCTCAAAATTCATTGTTCCAACCTTGAGGACAAGGTTGTTTTGCAGCAGGGTGTAATGATAGGATCTAAGGTAAGAGGATAGAAGGCGGGAAAAAGAGAGAGCGGTTAGGAAAAACGGGATGGGAGATCTTATATAAATATTGTTCTATTCATTGTTAGAAGGCAACTAGCCATTTCTTACGTTTTGTAAATAGGTTTTGAATCTCGTTGAGGAGGATTAGGCTCTCGAGTTGTTATTATTTTCGTTTTACAGTTACAGCGAATACATACAACTACAGATATTATACACCTTTCCTTGATTTTCTCTTGTTTATTTGAGTTGGCGTGAGTGGGTACTGCAAGACTAATTAGGTCTCTTACTCAAAAACCTAACACAGACCAACAAACATAGTTCAGCACTGAGTCAAGGAAAAAGCATTTACCAAGTCAAAACATACTAGTTTCAATAATCAACACTTGGGCTGAAAGCAAAATTGCAGTCTTAGATAAAATCCTTTGCTGTCATGCTAGGAGAAGCAATAAAAAAATGGTTTTGATGCCAGGGAGTATGGTCTAAATATAGGAAAGCATGGACATCATAATTTGTACTGCATACAACATGGTTAAAAGAGAATTATGCAGAAACAGTGTAAAACCATTCTATCACAGCTCAGACAAAAATACATCTGGCCTTCCATTAAAAGGGAAAAGCCTATAATGCTAACCCAGAAACTGAAAATCTAGCCATTGAATATATAAAAACAATATTTTTAACCCAGTTTCTCCATGTACCCTTTTTAACCCCAGATTCAGGCTTATAACATTCGACCTATAAAAAAAGACAGTACATCATACAAGTGGTCACTATGAACATTCAATTAAATACAATCTTATCCTCACTGTTTTCTTCTAATTCTTTTTAATTTTACTCCACCTATCTAATATAAGATTAATATTTCTATGATCATGTACACCATGTACCACCTTCTCATTGTTCATCCCAAACCCATCATCATCATTTGTCATTCTTTCTTTTTTATTGTCATCCACTTTATCTTTAACTGATCTTTCTTCTTCTTCTTAAGCTACATTTCCCTCTTCCTCAACTACATTTCCTTCTTCCTCAGCCACTTTGACATCTTCCTCAGCCACATTATCTTCTTCTTCGTCAATGGCCTCTACATATCGTGTCTCTGCCTCTTCACCCATGACTTTGTTCACCGCACCAAAAACAATGAAGTTAATTACTTGAACCTGACTAAAAACATGTTCCACATATACTTTAATCTCTTCGTGCTTCTTCCAACAATGATCATTTCGTGTTTGACAAATTCAGCAACCACACCTCTAATCCCTTGTCTCAAGTGATCTCAAGTAAATAATCTTAATTTAAACTTTGATTTTAAACGTTAAGAAAGGTAAGTTTCAATTTCAAAAAATCACTCTCACTGTTAAACACATCATAGAAAATTCATAACATTAGTGTTAGAGGATCAAATCCCCGAGTTTCTATAAAAAATAAAATGAAAATGAACGAAAATTTGAAAAATGACTAAAACCAAAATTACATAATAGTTGAGAGAGAAAAAATATATTTAACCCTAATTTTCATTTGTGACAGTAAAATCCACAAATTATTTGTAGAAGACTCAGTCCAGAAATATAATTATAACTGTTAAATTATGCAATTTAAAATACATTTCAAGGTTATATAATTCATAATGGGTTTTGGAAGTTAGAAATGTATTACATATTATGTGCTGATAGAAAGAAAATTACACCTCATCCGTTTCAGAGATGTATTCCAAACTGAAAAAATCAAGAAATATAACAACCAAATCGATTGAATCATCCGAAATATATTTCAATGTTATGCAATCAAAAATATATTTTCTGGTTCATAAGTGCATTTTTAATGACGTAATCTACAAATGAATGCATAAACAATTTTGACTTTAACCCTAGCTCAGATCAGAAATCACGGATTACATAAATAAGCCCTCTCCAACATGCTTTTCTGCAGTCCTCTCCAATCCATGCGTGAACTGTTTTGTTATTACATCCTATGTAACACTAGTAATGCTGCGTTTAGTCAAACACCATTAATAATTTATGAAACCCCAATATTTGTCAAAAAAACAAATTGCTGTTAGGCACCAAATATGAAACTGAGTTTTCTAAAGCCATTCAAAACCTTGTTCAAAAACATAAATAGCTAGCTTCACCAGAAAAACTGAAGCAAAAGGGACATACATAATAGTCGTTCAAAGGTTCTGTGCTTAGCATTAGGATATAGTGAGACCAATAATCATCTCCTGTCACCATGATGCCTCTTATGAGGATAATCATCAGCTTCAACATCTTGTCTTTTGTGTCCACGTTCCTCCCTTCTATGTCTGTAATCTCCATCCTCCCTTCTACGTTTGTAATCCTCATCAGATTCAATATCTTGCCTTTTATTCCCTCGTTCTTCCTTTCTATGTTTGTAATCTTCATCTTTCCTTCCATTTTTGTAATCATCACTTGGACTTCTCTTTCTTCGACCAGAATCAATCTTCACATCTTGCTTTCCACTGTCTTCAGGTCTCTTCCTATAACCACTGTCATTCCTTCTCTCCAAATGGCTAGAATCTGTGTTTCTCCTATCATCTTCATCTCTTCTTCTAGGGCCTCGCTCATCTTTACGCTTGTAGTTATCATCTTCATATCTTCTTCTAGAGTCTCGCTCATCTTTACGCTTGTAGCCATCATCCTCTTCTTTTCTGGATTCATGATCAACTTTCCACCTGTAATCATCATTTCCATGTCTACCCTTGTGCCTATCTCTTTCTTTCTTGTCAGCATTCGAATCCAAATCTCTTGCACCTCTGTCATATCGTGCTTTGTTTTCTCCATTTCCCCCATGCTCTCTGCTTCTATCACCGTACCTATCTCTTACCGTATCCCGTTCCCTACTACTTCTATGATCTTTAAAATTTTCTTCCCTAACTTTTTTCTCAACTGGGTCATCCCTGTCATGCTTTCGGTGTTTTACATCTTGCCTTGGACTTTCTGGGTTATCATCTCCATCAAAAACCATTTCATATCTGCATGCACCATGAAATTGTTCTCACATATGGATAGACAAAATCAGAGACAGTCAAAGAGTGACACATGCAACCAGAAGTACATACCTCGAATTATCTCCACCACGTTGGGTATTATCATCCTTTAAAATGTATTTTGTTTGTGGTTGTTTCATTGTAGCATCTCCAGTGCAGTCCTTGGCAATATGATCTGTAGAGCCACATTTGAAGCAACCACCACCTGCGGTAATAAATTATTATAATAAAAGTTACATAGGAAAAGGAGCAGCTGTTTACAACCAAACATTGGCATTCAGCACAATGCTGTAAAAACGAAACAAGTAATAAACAAATTCTTACAAATTGTGATATTGGTAAGAAACTTGGTTGGGAGTAGTGTTGTCAAACTCAAGGATTGTAAGGGGTTCGGAAAGACAATAAAAGATCGTAACTCAAGGATCATAACTGACCAGTAAGAGTCACGATTATAAAAAAAATTATATCCATAAACAAGTGTATTATTAAAAATAATAAAAATAACTCATAATAGTAATAACTATAATAATAATAATTATAACTATTATTATAATAATAAGTTTAAGTAGTAAACTTTAGTAAATAAGTTGTTAGAATATTTATATTATATTGTGTCTAGTATATATATGATAGTACCTAGGTCTGCAATTAAGGTTATCCTATTTATAATGTGCTTTTGTATTAGAATTTTCTTACATATAAAAATGAGGGTAGGAGGGATTTCAAGCAAGAATTATTTTACAGTTTCAATCTAAGTTAAGTCGTGAATAAAAAGAACCAATGAGTGTGGATGTCAGCAGAACAACCACTCGAGCTGCGAGCAGAACCACTTGAGCTGCCAGCAGAACAACCAACGCAACTGCATCACTAAAAGGAAGCCTAAAAGAAACAGAGGTGGAGAGCAAAATAAAAAGTAGAGAAACAGAGGCTGAGCATAGCTCTCTGCGAATGCGGCGAGTGAATGCGAGGGCAGCTAGTGCCAGCGACTCCAAGAGCAGTGTGTGTGGTGAACGCAACCCTAGATGAAAAAGGTAACGGCGTTGGGCTTCTCANTTATATTGTGTCTAGTATATATATGATAGTGCCTAGGTCTGCAATTAAGGTTATCCTATTTATAATGTGCTTTTGTATTAGAATTTTCTTACATATAAAAATGAGGGTAGGAGGGATTTCAAGCAAGAATTATTTTACAGTTTCAATCTAAGTTAAGTCGTGAATAAAAAGAACCAATGAGTGTGGATGTCAGCAGAACAACCACTCGAGCTGCGAGCAGAACCACTTGAGCTGCCAGCAGAACAACCAACGCAACTGCATCACTAAAAGGAAGCCTAAAAGAAACAGAGGTGGAGAGCAAAATAAAAAGTAGAGAAACAGAGGCTGAGCATAGCTCTCTGCGAATGCGGCGAGTGAATGCGAGGGCAGCTAGTGCCAGCGACTCCAAGAGCAGTGTGTGTGGTGAACGCAACCCTAGATGAAAAAGGTAACGGCGTTGGGCTTCTCATGGGTTGGGTCGACCATAGGACCAGAAGGATCGATGCGGCCCATGATCCCTCGATTCAGTGAGTATCCTAGCGTACTCACTCCCATCTGCACCACTTACTATCCACCTCCGCATCAACTCGCTTGATGCTCCAAACTGGCAGGATCGTGCGAGTTTTAGATCTTACTAGCAATTTTAACACTGATTGGGAGAACCACACCACAAAAGCTAAATGTTGTAGTTGGAAAGCCCAAGCTCTGATAAACCTCACAAGAATCTCATATGTTGTAGTTGGAAAGCCCAAGCTCTGATAAACCTCACAAGAATCTCATATTTCTAATCTGAGACTTACATCCATACCTAGCAATTGATCCTAACAGATATCATTATCCTTACCTTTACCCTTTTGATCTTTACGCCTGTATTGGGACCACAATTTTGCCACACTTTGACTAAAATCCACATGTATCCTTCGATCATCAATCAAAGCATTATCCATCTGCAATTCAGCGAGCAATCAAGAAGAAAAAAATTCAGAATACGAGTTTTCTTTTCAAACCACAGCAATTTTTTTTCTATATACTTATTTGAACTCAGAATTGCCAGAGAAAATAAGAACTCTTCAACCCACTGTCTAAACTCAAATAAAAATTGAAACGCAAGATCACATAGGAAATGTAACCAAGGATAGAAAGAATAAATAAATAAATAAATCTACAACAGTAATGTGCATGAAGCAAAACAGAGTAATTTACTACCAAGAAAAAGAAAGAAGAATCATTTGGTAAAAATATGCTTCAAAATTTTCAGCATACCTTAAAATATGCTTCCTGACATGACCTTATGTCCTCAAATTCTGTCCAAATGAGTACATATAAGATGTGGTTAATTGCATGAAAACAAAAAGAGACCATTCATTTTCCAACTATAGAGTAGGTGTTGTAATTAGAGAAAATATCTTTAGAATCTTCCTAATTAGAGAAAATGGATATATATTCTTTTATTTTATTTTGTTTTACTAGTTTCCCTATTTCTTTTTTTAGGAGAATTAGATTATTACAAATAGAGGATATGAGAATGTATTTTTCATGATTGAGAATAATAAAATCAGTCCTATTTTCAACTTGGAGATTGTTGATAAGCCAAGAGACAAGAAGGCAGTAGGGTGTAGATGGATATTCACGGTGAAACATAAGGCAGATGGGACAATAGAAAGATATAAAGCTAGATTGGTGGCAAAAGGATATACCCAAACATATGGGATTGACTATAAGGAGACATTTGCCCCAGTGGCAAAAATGAATACAGTTCGAGTTATTCTCTCTTTGGCTGCCCATTTTGGATGGGACTTACACCAGCTAAATGTGAAGAATGTCTTTCTTCATGGAAATCTAGATGAGGAAGTGTACATGGAGATTCCCCCAGGTTTTGAAGTGAAAAATGAAAGAAACAAGGTATGCCTCCTGAAGAAAGCATTGTATGGTCTTAAGCAATCCCCTAGAGCATGGTTTGGAAGATTTACAAAAGCAATGGTTTCCTTGGGATACAGACAAAGCCAAGGAGATCATACTCTATTCATAAAGCCCAAGAGGATATGAATTTTCGAACAAATGGACAGCACACATGAGAGGAATGTTTAAGAAGACCAAGCAATGGAGCAAACCAAGCCTTGGATGTGTGACAAGGCAAGGAAAACATGGGAAACATGACCTTGGTGAGCCACTTTAGGATTGTTCTAGAATCCTTTTTTGAATTTTGAAAAGTGAAGCCAAATGTCCAAGAACTATGCCTATATAAAGCACTATGTAGCTTTGCTTCACAGTTTTGAATGAATTTGTTTTCTTTGTGAAATTTGTGAGTTGTTCTACTGAGGAAGTAATTTGCTTACTCTGTTTCATCTTGAAGGTTTTAGGAATTCAAGCGATGATTCCTTGTATATCATATTTTAAGCCTAACAGAAGTGCCATGTTCTTCACTTCTTACCTTTCTCCATCTTTTACTCTTCACTTTTCCCATTCTCAACACATGATGGTTAGCATGTTCTTATATTGTTACTATGTTCATGTGTTCTTATGTTTTTTGAATCCATGGCTTAAACTTATACATGAGTTTATATCGTGGAACATAAGAAAAAAGGAGATTGATTATGTTGGTTGCGATCTTACGATGAAATCAAACTAATTTATTAAGAAGTGAGTTTAAGCCTAACCACCTTATAAAGGGAGAATTTCCTTCCCTTAAACTTACATATTGTATATTGACCTTATCATTAATCGATGTGAGATCTCCAACGGCCTTCCATTGCCAATTAGATTTGATGGATTGTGATGATCCACTTATATGGAAGATCACCATTCTATTATTTTTGGAGGATTCAAAGTCAAGTATTGTGCTATGGAACAATTTTAAAAACATGTGAAACACTCCAACCAAATGCACCACACAAACAAAGTGTTGGACAAATCTATCAGATTTCATATGTACATGAGTGCTTGTCCTTGCATTCTTATATAAATACCACTAAACACAACAACGAAAAAGACCAGAAGGAAAAATTTACAAACACAAGGAAACTTTGATTTGGGAACAGAAAACTTATTTGTAGTACACATGTTAAGCATATCTACCTTTTATTGCCTTTTGTTATTCCTAGTTGGAAATGCTACACTAAAGATATCCTGAATAAAAAAGGTGGTAGACACAAATCGACTCAAAGAATTACATAGGAAAGAACCAGGCAACTGGTGTAGAAATTGGAAAGAAAATGAGGAAGACTACTTTAACACAATTAAAAAGCACAAATTTTACACAAATGACAAAGTGTACATACTGACCTATGAAAGCGTAGCATAAACTGTCACCAGTTTTGTGATCACGGATGATTTCTGCCCTACAATTTAAAATATCAAGTAAGAACAATATATACAAAATGATATCAATATTAGTAAATGTCATGACAGGTAAACTGCCTAATATTAATACTCACGATGATACAGTTCCAAAGCGAGAAAATATAGTATTCAAGTCCTCATCCTAAAATTTAAAAGAAAAAATATTAATAGTCAAGTACTGATTTTGACCTCAGTATAAATTGGGGGATGGTAGGGGGAGGGGAGAAGAGAATATGATAACTACATACATAACACTACAGAAAGGGATTACTCACCTCAGTAACTGGGTTCAATTTACAGACAAACAATACATTTTCAGGAGGTTTAATCTCAGCATCAGGAATATCCCCAATCTAAAATAACAAAAAAAAGCAACTTTACAAGGGATCACATTCACAAATGAAGTACCAAACTATTTAGTATACTTACACTCTCAAGTACAACTGCCCTAGAATGTGCTTCCTTTGATCTGATAACCTCCTCAAGTTCTGCTGGATTTAATTGTTCATCCATGGGCACCCAATCATCTTCAAGTCGTACTTCATCATCAACCTAGTAAAATTTCATTAAGTCATGCCTTAGATGTTTGAACATGTATGCTATTGAATTTTTCATTATTATAATGCTTGAATTGATTTGTAATCACAAGAATCCAATCATCCATATGTAGTCAAACAGTTACAGCCAGAAACTCTTTTACACTGAATGCTGAACAAATATACCATCGCATAACAAGTAAAATCCAATATAATCATCAATCTATAGCTATAGAGTGACAGCTAGAGACAAATTAATAATCCATTCATCATGTAATCAATTCTTTATTAATTGTTATAACTTGAAAAAAGTGGGAAACAAATCTCATTCTTCATCTCACCTTATAATAGAAGAGGAAACAAGGTTGTCAAACTCAAGAGTTTACGTAAACTTGTGAGAGCCTACAGAGTTTACTTTGACATGAATCTTTTTTTTATATGAATAACATCCTAATTCATCCTTAGAATGATATAACATAAATTCAAATGTGAAGTGTCTATGTGTAATCCTCTAATGACATTATCATCTCCATCATCATCTTCATCCAACTCTTCCCATGATGAACGTTATGCATCCTCATTGGCATCAAAAGCTGTTATTGTTAGATATATTATTTTTATCTTTTATCTTTATTAGTTAGTTTGTTATTATTTCTTATTTGTATTTTGGACTTAGTCGATATTTGTTCTATTATAAATAGAGGACCCTATGTGTATATTGAACACAAGGGAGTTTTCACTATATTCAACTTGGCATCAGAGTGGGTCAACCCCGCTCTGGTTTCTGTCTCGCATTTGTCCGGTGTTGTTGTCTGCCACCGCCCGCTATCGGCCGTCTATCGCTGTCCGCCATCCTTCGGTCGTCCACCGTCGCCGGCCACCTTCGTCGGCCGTCCACCGCCGCTGCCGTTCGCCGTCGTCGATCGTCCACCACCGGCCATCATCACCACCGGCCATCTTCGAAGATGGCGTCTAGCAATACTCTTTATTCTTCGAAAGTCCATCCATTACCTCCAAAAAGCTAAATGGAAACAATTATCTATCATGGTCTGCTGCCGTTGAAATGTGGTTTCTTGGCCAAGGGCATTATGACCACCTTGAGCGAGATGGAAGCCATGTGCCTGGTGAAAAAGCTTATCAGTGGAAACAAGCAGATTTCCAGTTGTGTGCCCTATTATGGCAATCAGTGGAACCCAAACTTCTTATATCTGTGAGGGCTTTCAAAACTTGTCACTCCTTTTGGAAGAAAGCTCAAAGCATCTATTTCCACGATATTCAACGTCTCTATGACGCTACAAACAAGCTCAAAACTGATTTACCTCACTATTACAAGGCCAGATCTATCCTTTGTAGTTGGAGTGGTTAGTTAGTTCATGCACGCTCCTTGTGTTTTGACCATTGGAATGCTCTCATTCGCATTCTAAGGTATATGAAAAAGGCTACTCGGGCAAGGATTGTTATATGAAGATAAAGGAAGCATTCAGGTTTCTGGGTATTGTGATGCAGATTGGGCAGGTTCACCTATTGATAGACAGTCTACTACAAGATATTGTGTTTTTCTGGGAGGAAACATTATTTCATGGAAAAGTAAGAAACAAAATGTAGTAACTCGATGAACAGCTGAAGCCAAGTATAGGGCGATGGCATCACTCACATGTGAACTTATATGGGTGAAACAATTCATTGAAGAGCTTAACTTCTGTGACATCCATACTATGAAGATGTATTGTGATAATCAAGATGCTCTCCAAATTGCATCAAATCCAGTGTTTCACCAGAGAACTAAACATATAGAAATTGATTGTCATTTTGTTCGTGAAAAGTTGTTGACTAAAGAAATATGTACTGTGTTTGTTGGGTCAAAGAATCAACTCGCAGATGTGTTGACCAAGTCATTAAGAGGGGATTGAGTTTATTTGTTCAAAGCTTGGTACATACAATTTGTATGCTCCAGCTTGAGGGGAAGTGTTAGATATGTTATCTTTATCTTTTATCTTTATTAGTTAGTTTGTTATTATTTCTTATTTGTATTTTGGACTTAGTCCATATTTGTTCTATTATAAATAGAGGACTCTATGTGTATATTGAACACAAGGGAGTTTTCACTATATTCAACTGTTATCAAGATCAAGACCATCTAAAGCTGGATATGTTGTTGCTCCATCTAAGTGAACATTTTCATTATCATTTCAAATGAGCTAAATTACGCTTCCATCCCAAAGAACTACAAGTCAAGCTTAGAATTCAAATGGCAAATCTTTTCAACTCAGGAGTTCCATCCCCAAACATATCGCACCATTCCACAATTTTAATGCTTTCTTGCACTTACAATCTTTGAGCAATAATTACATTTCACTTTTCTACCATTACCATTAATATCTATCCCATCTTTCCATCAAATATCAGGCATGTTCCATGGGGCACTTTTACTTCTACTTCAGATATCAGAAAGTGCGCACTATGAGTGCAAAGAAAACAGGGACTGCGATGGAAACAATGAGCTAGGTGACAACGAACGAGGCGACGATGAGGGACAATGTCAACGGCAAACGCGAGGGTGAGACACAGTGAAGCGATGTGATGCAATTGCAAGAGAGGGGTTGTGCGACAAAAGAGTTCTAAGAACAAAGACGAAGCTTAATCTTGAACCCTAATCTGGTTAGTTTTCTTCAAAAATGGCCCTCCATACAAAGTTGTTTTGCATTTAAAACTTTTTCTCATCGAACTTGCCAAATCGAAACCAAACTAGCGAGTTCAACCGATTCCACATCCAACCCCACGATTCTACTCCAAAAACCGAGTTTGCTTCCGAGTTAACTAGGAAGTACTGAGTGAACACGTAAACTAGTCTGAGTTAATGNCAAGCCTTGGATGTGTGACAAGGCAAGGAAAACATGGGAAACATGACCTTGGTGAGCCACTTTAGGATTGTTCTAGAATCCTTTTTTGAATTTTGAAAAGTGAAGCCAAATGTCCAAGAACTATGCCTATATAAAGCACTATGTAGCTTTGCTTCACAGTTTTGAATGAATTTGTTTTCTTTGTGAAATTTGTGAGTTGTTCTACTGAGGAAGTAATTTGCTTACTCTGTTTCATCTTGAAGGTTTTAGGAATTCAAGCGATGATTCCTTGTATATCATATTTTAAGCCTAACAGAAGTGCCATGTTCTTCACTTCTTACCTTTCTCCATCTTTTACTCTTCACTTTTCCCATTCTCAACACATGATGGTTAGCATGTTCTTATATTGTTACTATGTTCATGTGTTCTTATGTTTTTTGAATCCATGGCTTAAACTTATACATGAGTTTATATCGTGGAACATAAGAAAAAAGGAGATTGATTATGTTGGTTGCGATCTTACGATGAAATCAAACTAATTTATTAAGAAGTGAGTTTAAGCCTAACCACCTTATAAAGGGAGAATTTCCTTCCCTTAAACTTACATATTGTATATTGACCTTATCATTAATCGATGTGAGATCTCCAACGGCCTTCCATTGCCAATTAGATTTGATGGATTGTGATGATCCACTTATATGGAAGATCACCATTCTATTATTTTTGGAGGATTCAAAGTCAAGTATTGTGCTATGGAACAATTTTAAAAACATGTGAAACACTCCAACCAAATGCACCACACAAACAAAGTGTTGGACAAATCTATCAGATTTCATATGTACATGAGTGCTTGTCCTTGCATTCTTATATAAATACCACTAAACACAACAACGAAAAAGACCAGAAGGAAAAATTTACAAACACAAGGAAACTTTGATTTGGGAACAGAAAACTTATTTGTAGTACACATGTTAAGCATATCTACCTTTTATTGCCTTTTGTTATTCCTAGTTGGAAATGCTACACTAAAGATATCCTGAATAAAAAAGGTGGTAGACACAAATCGACTCAAAGAATTACATAGGAAAGAACCAGGCAACTGGTGTAGAAATTGGAAAGAAAATGAGGAAGACTACTTTAACACAATTAAAAAGCACAAATTTTACACAAATGACAAAGTGTACATACTGACCTATGAAAGCGTAGCATAAACTGTCACCAGTTTTGTGATCACGGATGATTTCTGCCCTACAATTTAAAATATCAAGTAAGAACAATATATACAAAATGATATCAATATTAGTAAATGTCATGACAGGTAAACTGCCTAATATTAATACTCACGATGATACAGTTCCAAAGCGAGAAAATATAGTATTCAAGTCCTCATCCTAAAATTTAAAAGAAAAAATATTAATAGTCAAGTACTGATTTTGACCTCAGTATAAATTGGGGGATGGTAGGGGGAGGGGAGAAGAGAATATGATAACTACATACATAACACTACAGAAAGGGATTACTCACCTCAGTAACTGGGTTCAATTTACAGACAAACAATACATTTTCAGGAGGTTTAATCTCAGCATCAGGAATATCCCCAATCTAAAATAACAAAAAAAAGCAACTTTACAAGGGATCACATTCACAAATGAAGTACCAAACTATTTAGTATACTTACACTCTCAAGTACAACTGCCCTAGAATGTGCTTCCTTTGATCTGATAACCTCCTCAAGTTCTGCTGGATTTAATTGTTCATCCATGGGCACCCAATCATCTTCAAGTCGTACTTCATCATCAACCTAGTAAAATTTCATTAAGTCATGCCTTAGATGTTTGAACATGTATGCTATTGAATTTTTCATTATTATAATGCTTGAATTGATTTGTAATCACAAGAATCCAATCATCCATATGTAGTCAAACAGTTACAGCCAGAAACTCTTTTACACTGAATGCTGAACAAATATACCATCGCATAACAAGTAAAATCCAATATAATCATCAATCTATAGCTATAGAATGACAGCTAGAGACAAATTAATAATCCATTCATCATGTAATCAATTCTTTATTAATTGTTATAACTTGAAAAAAGTGGGAAACAAATCTCATTCTTCATCTCACCTTATAATAGAAGAGGAAACAAGGTTGTCAAACTCAAGAGTTTACGTAAACTTGTGAGAGCCTACAGAGTTTACTTTGACATGAATCTTTTTTTTATATGAATAACATCCTAATTCATCCATAGAATGATATAACATAAATTCAAATGTGAAGTGTCTATGTGTAATCCTCTAATGACATTATCATCTCCATCATCATCTTCATCCAACTCTTCCCATGATGAACGTTATGCATCCTCATTGGCATCAAAAGCTGTTATTGTTAGATATATNGCAATCCCCTAGAGCATGGTTTGGAAGATTTACAAAAGCAATGGTTTCCTTGGGATACAGACAAAGCCAAGGAGATCATACTCTATTCATAAAGCCCAAGAGGATATGAATTTTCGAACAAATGGACAGCACACATGAGAGGAATGTTTAAGAAGACCAAGCAATGGAGCAAACCAAGCCTTGGATGTGTGACAAGGCAAGGAAAACATGGGAAACATGACCTTGGTGAGCCACTTTAGGATTGTTCTAGAATCCTTTTTTGAATTTTGAAAAGTGAAGCCAAATGTCCAAGAACTATGCCTATATAAAGCACTATGTAGCTTTGCTTCACAGTTTTGAATGAATTTGTTTTCTTTGTGAAATTTGTGAGTTGTTCTACTGAGGAAGTAATTTGCTTACTCTGTTTCATCTTGAAGGTTTTAGGAATTCAAGCGATGATTCCTTGTATATCATATTTTAAGCCTAACAGAAGTGCCATGTTCTTCACTTCTTACCTTTCTCCATCTTTTACTCTTCACTTTTCCCATTCTCAACACATGATGGTTAGCATGTTCTTATATTGTTACTATGTTCATGTGTTCTTATGTTTTTTGAATCCATGGCTTAAACTTATACATGAGTTTATATCGTGGAACATAAGAAAAAAGGAGATTGATTATGTTGGTTGCGATCTTACGATGAAATCAAACTAATTTATTAAGAAGTGAGTTTAAGCCTAACCACCTTATAAAGGGAGAATTTCCTTCCCTTAAACTTACATATTGTATATTGACCTTATCATTAATCGATGTGAGATCTCCAACGGCCTTCCATTGCCAATTAGATTTGATGGATTGTGATGATCCACTTATATGGAAGATCACCATTCTATTATTTTTGGAGGATTCAAAGTCAAGTATTGTGCTATGGAACAATTTTAAAAACATGTGAAACACTCCAACCAAATGCACCACACAAACAAAGTGTTGGACAAATCTATCAGATTTCATATGTACATGAGTGCTTGTCCTTGCATTCTTATATAAATACCACTAAACACAACAACGAAAAAGACCAGAAGGAAAAATTTACAAACACAAGGAAACTTTGATTTGGGAACAGAAAACTTATTTGTAGTACACATGTTAAGCATATCTACCTTTTATTGCCTTTTGTTATTCCTAGTTGGAAATGCTACACTAAAGATATCCTGAATAAAAAAGGTGGTAGACACAAATCGACTCAAAGAATTACATAGGAAAGAACCAGGCAACTGGTGTAGAAATTGGAAAGAAAATGAGGAAGACTACTTTAACACAATTAAAAAGCACAAATTTTACACAAATGACAAAGTGTACATACTGACCTATGAAAGCGTAGCATAAACTGTCACCAGTTTTGTGATCACGGATGATTTCTGCCCTACAATTTAAAATATCAAGTAAGAACAATATATACAAAATGATATCAATATTAGTAAATGTCATGACAGGTAAACTGCCTAATATTAATACTCACGATGATACAGTTCCAAAGCGAGAAAATATAGTATTCAAGTCCTCATCCTAAAATTTAAAAGAAAAAATATTAATAGTCAAGTACTGATTTTGACCTCAGTATAAATTGGGGGATGGTAGGGGGAGGGGAGAAGAGAATATGATAACTACATACATAACACTACAGAAAGGGATTACTCACCTCAGTAACTGGGTTCAATTTACAGACAAACAATACATTTTCAGGAGGTTTAATCTCAGC